CACAGATCTCAACAACTAGAACCACTGGTCTCCTACTTCGATCTCACCTTGTCCACCTCTTCTGGGTACCACTTGGGGGGACAAATAACGGCTTCTCCCTTCCCGGAGCAGTCACCACAAGCCTGTGGAAAGAGTTCAAGAAGCACATTCGCTCCAGGGCGGATGACCCAGTGCATGACTTGGACATTGGAGAGCTGGTGGGACATGATTACCAAGAAGGTGATAACGCCTTTCATCGAAGTCCACTGCTTGCTGCACTTCTGAAATCATCAACAGCAAACTAGGTCGTGGTTACCGGAAGTACTCTCATTTTATTCACAAAAAATGTTAAATTTCTGGGTGCTCCGTTCTTATTTGGTGGTCTAGCAGTTATATCTTGGACTTTTGAGTTAATTTTGGTTAATTTTATCTGTAAAATGTTTGGAGAAATACTTCGCTCTCATTTGTTAAAAGTGTAAATTGGTCAACTTTGTTTGGACAGGTTATGAATGGTATTAAACAAGTCAAGTCATTTTGACATCTGCAAAGGCAACAATACTTTATTTACATATATCTAATAGGTTTTTGAAAATATACATATTGTTAAAATCAGCTATGTCTTAATGCTAGTGTTACCAACAGACACAAGACTAAATCCCATTGGCTGGATTTGAACAAATTCGATCGGGTAGGTGGTTGATCCTTTACTCACAAAATGTGTTTGATTCTAGATTGTATTTAACCAGGTATGTACAAGTGACCAAAGATAATATTCGGGTCCACTCTATCAAAAGTATGGACATGTTTGTGCAAAAATTTCGTTAGCACGTGTTCTCAGTTTATTAAAACAAATGTCCATTGTTTTCATAATTGATTCTAAAATGGCAATTTCCTTCAGGAAAATGCTCTCCTGATTAGACTCCAAGAGTAGAATTCGATTTACTTTGCCAAATAATCCCCTGCCTCGTAACATCTCAAGTTCCCACCTGCGATTTAGTTATAAACTCAGAAGCCTACCGAACACATGAAGCGGGTTTTCGCCTCATCCTTAAAACAGACCACTTGCAGGTGACTAAAGCACTCCTTCCCTGATTGGTCGTTAGACAATAGCGGTGGCAAAATCGGTGACAGTGGTCCCAAGCTGGCCCCCCCAGTGGTTTGCGGGAACACAAGTGGTTGCACAGGCAGCCGCCATGGTAACTGCGGTGTCATTGTCAATGCCAGCAGGTCCGTAAGCAGGTTCCCCGTCAGCGCTGGTGTTGGTGTTGTTGTGGTCAAGAGTGGCATTGACAGCGGCGACAGCAGACACGAGGCGGGTTGAGGAAGGAGGAAGGGGTTTGGATGCAGGGCGAAGGGGTTCATCAGATTGGTGCAGACCGGCGGGGTGACGGGTTTGTGCGAGGTGACAATGAGGGAGCGCGGCTTCGAGAAGTACTGCTGCACCTGGGGCCAGTTCTGGTGATGGATCTGCTCGGCGCTAAATCGGGTGTTGAAAACTTCCTCGAGAGGAATGGAGGTGGCAAGGATGTGTTTGAGGAGTTGGTACGTGACGAGGTTGTTGTCGCCTTGGATGTTCGAGGAGATGGCGTTGGGGTGGTAGATCTCGGGCGAGAGGAGGGTCAGCTGGGCCTCAGGCCAGCGATCTACGGAGAGGGCTGTGCAGGCGGCTCGCGCACTTAACAACCGCCCGGCCAAATCCAAGCTCAATTGCACAAACCGTGGATTCCAGTGAGTGTCACGCATGCTAAACAAAGCAATGACCTTATTGGTTAGATTCAGACACCAAAATGATGTGAAACAGTCCACTTACGTTCCATGTTCACGAGATTTACACAATCAAGCCTTCCATCTCTGAAGTATTCTGACGTGAAAAGACGTCATGCTACGCCAAGCGTTTTCACTCCCGATACATTCTCTGATTTGAATCAGGTCAAGAATGGGTTTTTTACAAATCAGCTGAGGTTTTTTAGTCCGCAAGCACAATAAATTATTGGTTGAACTTAGTCGAATTAATGTAGCACAGTTTTAGTAAGAAATTAGCATATACACAGCATTCTATTTCTACTTTCTCACCGCACACTTTTTTCAAGGCATTAACTGGCCACGGAAACTTAATTCAAACGCCTATTTTTTATATGAGTATCTGGCACGAGGTCACACCATGATGGCTACATTTTTCCGTCGACTACAGCACTTAAATCCAGTGGCCAATAAGGCATTGGTCTAAATAGACTGGACTGCCGAATGAGAAATCGCATTATTTATTTAAAAGGAGTATTTTTGACCTATTTAAGGCCCTGCAAATTCGCAAGAGTTTTGTGCATGCCGAAAAAATTCTGACAGTACTCTCTCCACTTAGTTTAATGTCAAATTTTGCGAGCTGCGTGTTTCGACTTCCCATTACCACAGGTTTATACCAGCAGATCATTCACTAAAGTCTTTCTGCGATATCAACTGATTAAGAAATGTGAGTATTTCTTAACAGTGACTTCACCTATTTGTGCATTAAATGAATTGCAACCAACCAACGTTAATGCTCTTATTTTAATCGACTTGATAATTTCAAATTGCAAAAAACGACCCAGAAGAATTTTGGTAAACTTTGAAACATCAGTGATCTGGGTGAGCAGAAAAAAAACAATTCAATTTAACACAAAAGCTATGCGCAACGTTTCAATAGTTTAGTTTTCGTGGACGAGGATTTGCCACACGAGCACGTCAAGAATGGGTCGAATTTAAAGGGTAAAGTTTTGTTGCCTGGTTACATGAGAAGATGCTCTGTTGGCTGTTATAGTCTTTCAAGTGTTAGGTTCGAAGGAACTGTTCTGAAGTTCATTATAATGCTGAAGCATCAGCGACAACTCATAAAAGCGAAACTGACCTGCTTAGGACGATGCTGAAAAGAAGAAGCGTTTTATGTGTTTGTGAAGTGGTGCGTCTAGTGGAAATGCATGATTTACTGTGTGAATGTGCCTATTGATGTCGATGGGCACAAAATGCTTGCTCTAAACCCAGCAATTTCCCCGTGTTTGGCAAATGTGATCCAAGGAAATTCGAGGTTGCACCAAACTACGTGTCAAAACGGTGCCCACAGCGGTTGGTTTGTCATCGTATCGTATATACGCTGACTTTGATTGCCCCCCCCCAAGTGGTACCCAGAAGAGGTGGACAAGGTGAGATCGAAGTAGGAGACCAGTGGTTCTAGTTGTTGAGATCTGTGATCGCGATTCTGTAACGGTTTACTGAAATCTACTAATTCTAGTCAGCTATGAATGTCTGCTATATGGATGCGAAATTCAGCATTGTAGTTAAGATGGTATACAAATTTACCACGCCTGGAATGCGTTATCGTGAAGAAGCGTATAGCGAAATGGATACTGGACTCGTAGCAACATCGACAATTCCGAACCCACAGCCAACGTAAACTCGAGGTTGCGCCAAACTACGTGTCAAAACGGTGCCCACAGCGGTTGGTTTGTCATCGTGTCGTGTGTGTGTTGACTTCGGCTGCATTGCCGAGGGTAGCTTGTAGTGAAAAGTAGCGTTTAGTAGCGAAGACACAAGTTGTGCCGTCTAAACAGCACTCACAGTGATGTTGCATTAGGCTCACACCAAAGAGACCAGTTCATTTTGAAACAGGGTTTGTAAATTTGAAGCAGAACATGCGCACTACACTCGCTTGGCTGTGGTGTGGTTAATTTGAGGCCCACGGCAAGGTGATTGCGAGCAGTCTTGCTACTGTTGATGTCCATCTCATCAATTCGATTAGATGATGTTGTTGGTTTCGCCCTTTACTCGAGTCTTCGGAAATGCAAGCATTTCAAATACCTCAGGGTCACTACAACTTAGGTAGTGGGGCAACATTGGCGCTTTTTTTGCATCTTCGAAGATCGGTTTGCAAATGGCATGCACCAACGCACATAACAGTTAGGACGATTTTGGCATTCAAGTGGTGTCATATGTAGAAATTAACCCTCGTAACACAAGCAGAAGATGAAGTTATCACTTCTCACGACGTGTAGGTCGAGCACGTCATTGGGCCAGAACCGCTGCCACACATTTAGAAGAAAGACAATGCGTATTTGTGCACACAATCAGCGCAAATGACCTGGCGTGAATTAAAGGTTTGAAATCATCCCTTCAGAATCTGGTAATACTAGCAGCTGAAATGAAACGGTAGTTTGAATCGATATTTTCCAGCTATCAACTCTCTAATAGTCTAATTAAGTAGCATAAAATGAGGGATTTGTGAGCATTGGGCGACAGCAGTGACTACTACTGGTCGAAACCTGGTTTAAACAAGACCTGATTCCAAGCTACTTCGAACTGTAAGTTTACTAATAGTACGCTGGCAATTTTGAACAGTGGGAGTAATGTCTCAACTCTGCTATTGGTTTTGCCATCAATTTTCATAATCTCGCTTTGTGAAGATCGTTCTTGTCTTGGAGGTATTTCACACGAACCATTTCGCGTCTAGTAAATAAATGTGAATCCACACATTGGTTATACTGACTGAGATTAACAGTTTTGTGTTGTTAGCAGCTGGTCCTATCACATTTAGAAAAACGACTATGCGTATTTGTATGCACAGTCAACGGAAATGAACTTGTCTGGTGCTAAATTATTAAATATTATTTTTCCAATGCAAAATTAATTCAAAATTGATTGGTTATAGTTCTATTTAGAGCGAAAATCAGCCAAATTGACCAATCATGGGCTTTGAATCGTACCAGTAAAGTGTTGATAGATTATGCCTATTCGAATAAAAGGTTGCTTTTTCCAGTCTCTTGTCTTTTAGGTTTAAAACACCGCGAAGTGAAATATCTTTTTAACAGAGGACCAATCAAGCTAAAAGTTACCATGAATGATTGAAAGTTTTTGAACCAGTTTATGGAATGCAAGGCACAAAAAAGGCTCAATTTACAAATTTTCAGCCCTTTTTCGTAGGCGGAAATTCGGTTACATTTAAATCGTCAGCTAACTTTTTTTGGAAGGGAATTAGTGATAAAATGTTAATTAAGGAATATTAATTACTGGTTTGGCATTTTTAAAGTGATGGTGGCAATCTTAGAAGCTAGTGAAAACCTTTACTAGAACCCTAATAAACAGCCACCAATCGGATTGAGGCTAACTGAAATTAGGCTGCTATATTGTCTGAAATCGCAAAGAAGGGATAAAGATTTAATCTTTAATAGATTTTGGTGAGCCAGCTCTATTTTGGACAGTGAAAATCAATGGAATCGTCTGTTTTTTAAAGAACGCTGAAAGCAATTTATTTTATTTCAAAACTGCCTACAGGTCTGGCTAATCCTTCTCTACCTCCAAAATTTCTGCTTTTAAGTTCTTAGCAAATCAGGAAAATAGTCTCTCGTTTTATCCTTAATTAAATCGACATTCGATGATGTTTAAATTCACAATCCAGGCACTACATGAAAAATCGATAACAATCGATTAGTTTCTCTTGTGGATTACACCTGACTCACTGACGCCAACAATGTGTAATAGTGCTATCTGATAGTAATTATAATAGTCAACCACGACCAACAACATTATCAACGAGATCTATGTCTTGTGAAGGCTACGGTGCAATTTCAACTCAATTGGAATCTTAATTAGTCGGAAGGAACGGCGCTGCGCTAATTAGGAAACTTTATTAGCTGGCCTTGGCAATTCTCGCCGCTTCGTGCTTTTCACACGGTTTGAGAGCCTTCTCGTATCCAGTACACGTGCCGGCGCGTGCTTGGCCCAGATTGACACCCTGGGGCCACCGCCAGCACCATAACCGCCGCCACCCCCTAACTTCGTGCCTCCTTCGCAAACCAGCCGAGATCTCGTCAAGACACTGGAAGAGCAAGCATCTTCTCCACGCGATTGTTTTGATGCAACTGCGATAAATTTCCACCACAATGGCACAAAATTAACGCCTAACCAAATAGTGGCCAGGGTAGCGTCGAGCGGAGTGCGTCTAGTCACTGATTTTGCAATTTTAGCCCCGGTTTTGATAAGTGTATTCACTTTAACAAAATTTTAGCTTCCATTTTCACAGGAGTTGGTCATGGTAGCCCAGATGTAACCGAACACCTATTTGTATTGCAACTTACAAAGAAATGATCACACTTCAATGTAAATCGATTGAATAAGTTGGAAATCAGTATTTGCCTTGACTCATACGTCATCACGCATTTTCCGCCTTGCTCTGCATTAAAAATTCATGAGCATTAAAATCCAATTTAGCCAAAAAAATCCTTAAGCCGAATGACTGTGCCACGTCAACATAGTAAAACCACAAATGGAGCGCAGCTGAGACAAACTAGTCCTCGTGGATAATGTTTGTCTTTTGGTGTGTATCGTGTACTGATCTGAACAAGAATCCATGAAAATTTGTCCCCTGCAGCCCTAATTGGTGGTATTATCGATAAATGTAGCCGATATTTCGTAGTGGTATGTAAGACTGGAGACTGCGGTACTAGGCAACTTCTAGAGGAATTTAATTGCTTTCGACGCACAATTACTGACATCTCTTAGGTGTTTGCAAATCTCATATCCTATTCGCATACATGGCAGACGCCAGCATTCTGCTAACTGATAATTTTTATTCTTAAAATTCTGGAAGACAGCTATAGGAAAGGATGAAAACATTGGCATTTATAAAAACGTGTTTTCATTCAAACATGTCTTTTTGCCACCAGCCAATCGTGTAAGAACAGACAGGGCCTTGTTCAATTACATAATTATAGGAGAAA